TGTAATACGCGTTCAAAGTTGAATAATTGAAAAAATAAAGCAATATGGATAAGAGCACAGGAAAGTATCTATACTTTAGCAGATATTTAGAAAATTGCTCACTGCTACTAATATTCGCGCCTCCCCTTAGACTAGTCCATGTCTCCCCAGGGAGGCGCGCCTCACAGTTTGGAAAACGCTGGTTTAAACTAAGTTAAAAATGTCAATATTTAACAAATATATGTCTATATCAATACTAAATCTGAATAATCTTGCATTTCATTAACATTGCTTATGTTTCATAAATTCCAAACTTTAAGAAGATATACCAATAGAGTAAGATTTATCAATTTGCGGAGAAATGGCGAATATATCCGCCCCAGTTTTTGTTACAGGAAAACTATGCTTTTTGTCTGTTGAATCACTTCTTGAGTTATCATTGCAAAGGGTTAAGACAATAGTTAATTAAATAACTGGAATATTTAAAGAATAAATAAAAAATAAAGTTTAATTTTACAAACTAAACATTTTACATTATACAATCACTTAATCCACTTTAATCTTATTCTTCTTACACATTTTGATAACTAAAAACGCAACAATGGCTATTAAAAACAATAGAAAAGCAGCAACATCCACCATTTCCTTCTGATACCAAAGCAAATCCATCGAATGACTCCTCATTTCGCTCAACTTTCCGTACTTCAAAACATGCTCCACCCAATAAACCGCCTTATCCAAAGGTTTCATATCCCTTTCACGGAACAACTCTGACCTCCTCACAGCATTTATTTTAAACCTGAAGTAATCAATATAATAAATCATCTACATTGAAAATACTAGTACTTACTGCTCATCATTTAACACCTGCAATATAGCCTTTTCCAAAGAGATTTCAGCCAAATCGAGGTAGTTCACGTAGATTGCCATACCCTTGCTTTGCAGAAATTTAATATTGACATTTTGATCACCGAAAATGGGAATTCCTACGATTGGAACTCCTTGGTGTACAGCTTCGATGGAACTTAATAAACCTCCGTGCGAAATGAAAGCTTTAACGTTTTTGTGAGCTAAAATTTAAAATTAGTATGAAGATTAAAGAAGAAACGATTGGATTACCTAAAACGTCGAACTGCGGTAACCATTTGGCGAATTTAACGTTGTCAGTTGATTTTGGTAATTGGTCGTTTTCCCATTTCCAAAGGACGTTTTGTTTTAATTTACCGAAAACTTTTAAGAAGACATCAGGGTTTGTCAAATTGCTTGAGCGTATGATGGAGCCTAACGAGAACAAAATCACTCCATTCGTAGAATCGTCTAGAAACTTTTTCAGGTCTTCTGGTAGAGGATTTTCTTTCAAGTGAGCACCAGCAACTTCGATCATGTTAGGCATCAGAGGTATAGCATTGTGTGTGCTGTAATGCGTGTTTAGCAGTAATAGAGGGTCTTGGTACATCAGTTCATTAAGATTTGGAGCGTTAGGAAATATAGTTTTCATCCATTTATTGAACTTGGGTAATGCTACGAATCTTCTGTACAATTCCTCGAAAGAACTATTGATTAAGTTTTGTAGCCGTTGCAGAAAAGTCATTTTGCCGCTGTGTATGGCGAATTTGTGAGGGATATAGGAGAGAGGTGAAGGATTGTTCACATAGTGATTGCTCCATATGTTAGTGCCAAAGCTGCACGTGTAAATAACCGGTGATTTGAAGTGATGAGCGAAGCCTAAGAAGGAATCGTGTAAGAATTGATCCAAAATAACTGCGTCGAAGTGTTGGGATTGCTTTAGGAACTCGGAAATTTCGTGTGATTTCACTGCGTTTTCAGTGAACCAATAAGCTATTTCGTAGGCTTTCATTATTTTGGAAAACACCGAGAGTTTCCCGTAATTGAGTAAGGTTGTTCGTTTTTCTGAAACATTGTAAATAAATTTGTTATTATTTAATATAGTTTGTAGTTAAGAACCTTCGAAGCCTTCGGAGAGTCCGCTCAAGTAAATTTTGGTGAAATTACTATTGGAGACTTTGGAAGGAGAAATCACTGTGATTTCGTGTCCTCTCTCCGATAGTTTATCCAGAATTCTCTCCATGTAAATGTAATGGCTGTGAACGGGGAACGCGCAGATCGCCAAAATCTTCTTGCATTCTGAAAAGTTGAGCAAACATACGAATGCGACCAGTATCTTTGATGAATGCATGGTTTCTGATACAGTTTCGGTTCGAGAATGTGGAAAGCGTTGGCATATTAACATAGATACACCGATTTGCATATCGGTTTTGGTTTTATTTTTAAATAAAATTTGCGCTGTGTGTTCGAATTTGAGCTTTAATGTTCTTCGAATTGATTTTCTCGAGGGGTCCTAAAGATTCTGCAGCATCGTGTTAGGATGTGTGTATGCGTTAAAGTAGGGTTGGGGGGTTTTAAAGCTTTCTCTCTCTCGGTTGGGGTTCGAAAATCGTCGAAGGCAGAAGTAGTCGAAAGCAATGTAAGTATAGTAATTCAACACGGCCGCTGTAAAATCCCACTTTAATAGCTATAATCGTGCGTGAGTGCCCTAGTGGTCCCGCAGTTGGGTTGCCGGGGTGACCGCCCTTACACACACACACAGCTCACGTACACAAGTGTAGCAGGAATCACCCTCGCAACCCTTGGGGAAAAATCATCGTCATCCTGCCTCATCAACATCATCATAATCATTGCGAGGGCCCAAAAAACTTTGTTTTGACAACGTCGCCGATTTCATTCGAGACAATCAAATTTTATTGTCTCCTGGGTCAACTTGTTGCCCCAAATTTAATCCCTCCGGGAATATCAATATTTTTTTCTATTTATTGTCATTTTCGGATAGATACAACGAAATTTTAACACATACTTGATATTTATTTATTACAATGTATTTAACATTTTATGTTATACATGATTAAAGATATTTTTGTTAAAATATGTTTTTTTTTTATTTTTTTTCATAATAAATTTTATTTATTTTTTAATTACTTAAAAAGTAGTACATTTAAAACATATTTTCAATATGGATATTAAAGAATTAATTACAGATAACAGTACGAGCTATCACACATTTTCGCAATAATCTCGATTTTTGCGTAGTAAAAAGCTTCAACAATTTGAAGAAATAAATGTTATGCCTTTTCACGTTTTACCTAATACTCAAAAATCAACACTTTATATATTGAATATGGACATTAAATAATAAAATACAGATAAAGGAATGAACTAATAATCATTTTCTTAATGTTAGAGATATTCGCTTAAGAAATTTCTAAAAGTAAAGAAATTTATTTGATTCGAGTAAGTGCTTACACGTTTCACTTATTTGCTCGAAAACCAATCAATTTATAAGATATATTGAATATGGACATTGAAGAATAAACTTTTTTTTTGTCGTATAATTTTATTCACAATACGTTTATCTATGTGAACATTGAGTAAATTTAAGATCTCGGTTGACATTAATTGGATAATCTTTCCCGGTGGATAGTTACCATTATGATCTTCGTGTATTTGTTTATTCCTGACGAACCATGGGGCCTTAATAATATTTCTTAGGCATTTTGATTGGATCCTTTGTATAATTTGTATGTTCGATTTACTGGCTGCACCCCAAAATTGGATACCATAAGTCCATACTGGTTTCAGTATTACTTTGTATATAAGTAATTTATTTTTCACTGATAATTCCGACTTTTTCCCTAGAAGCCAGTAGAGTTTTATAAACTTTATTTCTAATTGCTCCCTCTTAGCCTAAATGTGATCTTTCCAGGTGAGTTTTCTGTCTAGATGCATGCCTAGATATTTGACTTTTGTTGCTTCGGGCAGATCTTGTTCATTAAGTCTTACATTTGGGCAGGTGTCTTGAAGAATAAACTACATTGAATATAATATCCTAAGCTTCTTAAAATTGAAGAAAGTAGTGTTTTCACATTTTACCAAATTACTCAAAAATCAATAAATTTATAATATATATTGAAAGTGCATATTAAAGAATAAAATACAGAGAATGGAATGAACTATTACTATTTTTTGTATTATTAGCAATTTTTGCGTAATTAGTTTACAAAAATTAATATGATGCTTCAAAAAAGTAGTGTATTCACGTTTTACATAATAACTCAAAAATCAATTAGCTATCAGTAAATTCTATACTATCAGAGATTTGATGAATAATTGTATGTTTCGAAAAATTAGTGGAATGAGACAAAAAAGTTATACCATGAAAAAGTAGTGTCTTTGCGTTTTAGTTAATTATTTTATAATGAATAAACTACAGACAATTGAATGAGCTATCAGTGTAGTATAACGATTATAGAGAAATAAGCTACAAAATTTTAAGAAATTATTTTTATTTATCTAAATAGGAATATCTTTATGTTTCACTGAAATAATGAAAAAGTAATAAATTTAGACAATATATTAAAATCTGGTCATTTTATTGATAAGATTACAATTATATAAATCATTTTATTTAAAGACTTTTTGGATATAGTTTATAAATATCTATAGAATTAACAAAACTGTAAATGGCAAAAATAACGTAGAAACAAACTGTTGTGTATATTTATGCGGATTAACGCATGGAAAAAGCTGATGGAGAGGATTACGTTCCGAAACTGCGATGCAAATAGGTGAAAGGACATGAATCAACGTAGCGTTTCGGGTTATAATAACAAGTGATCCATAATTTGCGGATTAATAAACCGGAGTCCGGAGCGATGAAAAATCTTTCTTTTTTTTTTGGTGGTTTGTTGCGGGTGCAAAATCGACGCTCCGATACGCCTATAAATCACTTGCGCCGTGAATTATGGGGGAATAATGAGGTGCGCCTAAACCGCTGATTAATAACAACAAAATTATTAATTAAAAACGCTGTAGGATTGATGATGTGTGTGTGTGTGTGTGCATTTTTTGTTGTTGTTGTTGTAATATTTTGTGGGGGTAGTTGGGGATGAAGTCGCAGCCGCCCTCCCGGGTGACCGGACGGTGCGCACGCGCGCGTTTTTGTAAAACAGTGACCGCAGTCCACCCCGTCGACGTTATAAATTTATCATAGATCTCATTCCGCTACATGAAACCCACACACGCTCCCTACATCATATTCCAACAAAGCGGAAAACAAACTCCTGCATAACCGCCCGCCGCGCGCTGCCACCCCACGTCCCATCAAGGAGAGCAAACATGCGCAAATCAAAAAAAATGAGTAACCTCATGAAAAAACGCATTCAAAAATCCCGCGCAAGAATACACATTTTCCGATCGAATCGAGTTGCTGTCGCCTTTGTTGGTGCTGTTATATAATTTTTGGCTGTTGTTGTTGTTGTTTGATTTAATTTGTTAATTAAGCCCGGCGGCAAAATGCAAGTTCGGTTTTCTGTTTCGAATTTGCATCGGCCTAAGTAATTATTCGGAGGGGTGGTCTTTGTTTTGACTCTATGTGCCAACGCGTTTTGCATGTCAACAACAATGGCATTCGGGAGTGATCTTATGCTATATGCTCATTGTTGTTGTTGTAGCATTTAAAACTAGTTCCATACAGGCTACAGCATATTTGAACCGCTTGTTAATGTTTCGCTGTTTGACTTTGGTCGAATGTTTGTTGTCCACTTTTGCGTATTTTCATTCAAACTTTTACAAAATATACAATTTACAACATCATTTTCATTATTACTATTAAACATATATTTTTTTTTTTGAAAAATATGATTTGTTATTAAATGAAAATGTTTTAAAATAGTCAATCTAATTTGATTCTGTATAAACTTATAAGTTCTTTACGAATGTAGATGTATACATCTATATGCTATATAATTAAGTGGATGAAAAGATTCGTGAAATATAAAAGATTGTAACAAGTAAAACAAACTAGTAAATAAGGTTGAAGTTTAATGCAGTAACGAGGAAAAAAATCGTAATTAAGCTTTCTCCTAGCGCCGGGAGGAATTTAATTCATTCAAACTTTTACAAAATATACAATTCACAATATCATTTTCATCAATTAAAGTAATACAAATATTAAACATGTAATTTTTTTTTTAAATATGATTTGATATTAAATTTCTCTGAAAATGTTTTAAAATAGTCAATCTAATTTGATTCTGTATAAACTTATAAGTTCTTTACGAATATAGATGTATAAATCTATATGTTATATAATTAAGTGGATGAAAAGATTCGTGAAATATAAAAGATTGTAACAAGTAAAACAAACTAGTAAATAAGGGTGAAGTTTAATGAAGTAACGAGGAAAAAAATCGTAATTAAGCTTTCTCCTAGCGCCGGAAGGAATTTAATTCATTCAAACTTTTACAAAATATACAATTCACAACATCATTTTCATCAATTAAAGTAATACAAATATTAAACATGTAATTTTTTTTTTGAAAAATATGATTTGTTATTAAATTTCTATGAAAATGTTTTAAAATAGTCAATCTAATTTGATTCTGTATAAACTTATAAGTTCTTTACGAATGTAGATGTATAAATCTATATGTTATATAATTAAGTGGATGAAAAGATTCGTGAAATATAAAAGATTGTAACAAGTAAAGCAAACTAGTAAATAAGGGTGAAGTTTAATGCAGTAACGAGGAAAAAAATCGTAATTAAACTTTCTCCTAGCGCCGGAAGGAATTTAATTCCTTCAAACTTTTACAAAATATACAATTCACAACATCATTATCATCAATTAAAGCAATACAAATATTAAACATGTATTTATTTTTTTTTCTGAAAAATATGATTTGTTATTAAATGTCTATGAAAATGTTTTAAAATAGTCAATCTAATTTGATTCTGTATAAACTTATAAGTTCTTTACGAATGTAGATGTATAAATTTATATGTTATATAATTAAGTGGATGAAAAGATTCGTGAAATATAAAAGATTGTAACAAGTAAAGCAAACTAGTAAATAAGGTTGAAGTTTAATGAAGTAACGAGGAAAAAAAACGTAATTAAGCTTTCTCCTAGCGCCGGAAGGAATTTAATTCATTCAAACTTTTACAAAATATACAATTCACAACATCATTTTCATCAATTAATGTAATACAAATATTAAACATGTAATTTTTTTTTGAAAAATATGATTTGATATTAAATTTCTATGAAAATGTTTTAAAATAGTCAATCTAATTTGATTCTGTATAAATTTATAAGTTTTTTACGAATGTAGATGTATAAAT